AAGATCTTTTACCAGGATCTCCCTTCAAGTTCCCTTATGGAAGCGTCTATGGAATTTCTCAGTGGAACCAATCGAAATGCCATCAGCATCATAGTTTTGGTTAAAAGAAGTGCCTTTTGAACGTGATTGACCAGACTACATCAAAGAATTCATGTTGAATTGTCCAACGGTATTTGTGACCTGTTGCACCAGACTGGAATGCATGGGTATTTAGTAAACTCTGCGAACATAGTAACAGTACCTTAATAAAATAGAAAGAATTCGTATGATTTGACAACATTAAATGGAAATGCACAAATTAGTCGTGACATAAATGGGGTGCTTGTCGGAGAAGAGCGAGACGATTTCATGCTCCCACGTTAAATATACAAAATAATGATACGGAATACCTGATGATGGCTGATGCTCTTGTATGGAGGTATTGTATTATAAATAATAAATCACGTTATGGTTCGATTGCTACGAACAACATTTTCCTCGTTAGGAACTACTAATATAACCTTCTCCCAATTGATCACATCAAATAAGCAACTTTATATCAGTTACTACCAATACTACACCGCGGCTTTCTTGATGCCTAAAAAGAGTTAACTAATGCAGTCTGAATAATTCGGTTCTGACATGCTCAAAACATCGTGCATCAGCAATCGATGCGCCTGTTTTTGCGCCGTCAGTGGATGCACACTCACTCAATCACCCAGCCACACACACGCACACACATTATAAAGTAATAGATAGTGGTGAGTGTAATAGTAAATCGATATGGTTGTGCGGATTTTTCCATTCCGTTTCAGGCCATGCAAGCGTATGACCGCTCGATCTCAAAAGAGCACAGTTAGTCGGAAAGGGACTGACAATCGGCTCAATAAAACGCCCACGTGGTTGGTACGAATACACACAATAAACATTAGTCATACAAATTCATTCAGTAAAATTACAATATATATTAAAGCGTAATAGGTTTGACTTGGCGAAAACCCTGCTAGATTTAAATTAATCAATACTGAATGTCAACAACTGGTTACCAAGAGAATACAGATAATAGCAATCATAGTAACCAACAGTTTGTCTTATTTTCTATCTTATATCCAACAACAGTATTGTTTACTGAAACTGGGATTGTAGTAGACGATCAACAGTTATAAATCAGCGACCGCAAGTGAATCCGACACAAGTGCTCGTCTTAGGTTGGCACTAAATCGGGCTAGGTTCCCCCAAGTCTTGTGGTAATTTCATGCCCATAAAATCTGAACCTTTCGCAGTTCATGGCTGAACCCACATTTGTGATTAAAATAATTTCCAAGTCTGAGGAAGAAACAAAAATAAGTATTTCAATCGGCAGAGGCAGATTCGTGTATCCCAGAGACCTGTTATCCGATTTACAAGGATTTTGTTTCTAAAACGAATACAAACTTAAGAAGAAAAGAATCACATACTTGAATCTCCTTTTTCATGTTGCTTCATCATTAAAAGTAATCATCGGAGGGGGAAGTTCTGTATGCTATATTTATAATATACATATTTTTTGTCCAGTCAATAACAGACTACTTATTATGAAATATATATCACTAATTGGGATTAAAATTGTCTGGGAAAAATAAAAAACCCATCACATCACAGCTTGCTGGAAACGATTTCATCATGAGACCGGAAATCGGATACACCACGATCACATAGTTGCGCGATCTCGATGATCGCGATTACTCGTGTTGCGGTCTGTGTGTGCGGGGAGGGGGCAGTGGATATGGAAAGCTTTAACTCTTTCAACAATTGGTTTTGGGTACATAGTGGGGTGTTGTTCAGACGAATGCTCACCAGTTCTGCTGTGGCCAGCATCTGACAGCAAATCTGCCTCAATAATCGCCCATGAAACTTTCTATAGAAGGTAGAAAGCCTCGGCCACGTCCACAGTGTGATTTTTTTCGGCTCGGTGGGAAACCATCGCACTGGTGAGTGACCCATTCGTTCCGGTGTTTAACCAATGTTCACGAATCCGTTCGGACAATCGCTTGACCGTGCGGCCTATGTACGCTGTTCCACCGGACTAAGTAAATGAGTATACACAGAATGGAACTGCAGAGCGAGGAACTTTGTCCTTTACTCGCAAACCCCCAACTGACTTGGACGTGGACAACACATAAAACTTGGATGGACAAACAACTAAGTGGTCGTGGTGAAGACGATTTCCGGTCTCATTATGAAATCGTTTCTAGTAATCTCTGATGTAATTTGATTTGATTTGATTTTACTTAAGTCACAGATTATCCCGACTTGTTCTGCTGACTTACTTGCTTTTTATAGTCGTTTAGTTTGATCTGTTCAGGTATCCAGCTCGTGAAGCTTTGTTGAACGTTCATCACGTGATCTATCATCCTCGTTAGTATCGATCAATCGTCTGGAGAGGAGATTACTGGTCTCATTCATAAATCGGTTTAAATAATCGATAAGTGTTGTGTAGGAGACCTTTTTCTATTGTTTGCCGTGAACTTGGAGTTATTGCAGACGCGTTCGTCCTTCACGACGACCCTAGCTAGATTACTGAATTCCACAATCCGTGTAGAGAAACGTCTTTAGATCAAATAAACCTTGGCGATTCCCTCAGGAGCTATTTTGGAAGCACAGAGTGAAACAGTTTCAAATAAATAAACCACATGTGGATAACTCCAACTTCAGCTTATAGTTATCTACGTTGGGAGACAATCTGGCAATAATCTATTCGTAAATACCCTCATCTTTCTCGAACGTAACTGTATAATTAGTGGCCTATCTAGCGTGCTTCATGCATACACTTCAAAATATAGAAGTAATACATCGTCAGGTGCAATATTATGTCTCGAAGATTACATGCTCCTTGAGCAGATTCAACGCGCCACAGAGCGCTTCTTTTTCGACTCAAATTGATTGGATTGAATGTGGTAATAACTGAATCGGGATGGACAGGAAATCCAGGCTTTGTGGTCTGTGCGACTCGGTTTGTATCACACCATGAGACACGGTTTGTATCTCTCGGGCTAAGCCAAATGATATCGGACGGCAAAAAGTTCCCATTATAATGCGTTAATGATAGCCAAGTTCTCCGGCGACCATGAAATTCATGTTTACAACGTTTAGAGTGATTTCATTCATTAATGCGATTTCGCCTATCACGGTGCTTGAAAACCGGGTGTGTGTGTGTTAGGTCCCAAAACGAAAATCAAAAGTTGTCCATGATTTACCTTTAAACTCCAAAAGCATGCAAGTACAAAACTTTGTGTTATTTCTGTGGTAGTTTTAGTACGAATACGAATCACGGACACAACATAAGCACTGGGTCACACCGGTACTTACACGCAGTATCCCAAGTAACCGAGACGTGAGAAGAAACACCACAGGAATAGCAGTTCGTTTATTGAAAAAGATCAGAGGGATTAAATAATATGCACAAAACAAGCTCATTGGTCGTCCAAGTCTCTGCCAATCGCGTGCTAGTATTACTGGCGTCGTTCGGTTTCTGTTTGGGCCGTACGGCTTCTGATTGGTTGCTACAATCGGCCTATGGTTTGTAATCCAGAAACTGTGACACGTACACAAATTGATGATGTCACCTGGGAAGCTTGATTCATCACAGATATCCGAAAACTGTAACACAGTATGTGTCACCTCGTAGGCTAGGATCATCACAATTTCTTTTATGTGGATTCAAGATATCAGGTACAATCTGGACCCATTCTCACATATTGATGTTCGCGATGTTTGACAGTGAATGTTATTCATTATTATTGTTGTTTTTGAAGCCGCTCTTTGTTCTTTATAACAGTCGTAAAACTGAATCCAAAGAGGACTATGCATGTGCAAAACTTTCACGTCGTGCGACCTCGTAACAAACAGGGGACTGTTGAACTTCGATGACTATTTCTACGGGGTACCAGGCGGTAAAAGTTGGACCTGTCGGTGGAAGGATGATAGTCAGTGAACAGGTGGGGCGAGTACGGATGTCTTAAGCGAAATTCTCACAAGTGGTTATTCTTTTTTGTTTTTCATTTTTACTTCTCTTTATTGAATAAACAATGATATAATTAATTTTCGGGAGGAGGGAAGCGGCCAATTGAAGGGCTGCCATTCAGCACACACACAACGGGAAAAGTCAGGCAGCGGTGGTGGTTGGATTCGAACACAAGTCCTCTGGNTATAATTTAGTGACCTTTATAATTGGGGCACCACTACCCCCAATGCGAATTTCTCACAATTTTGTGGTTCGAGTATGCATGGAATTCGAGGAAGCTCGATCATTAATTGTCAACTCGCAATGTCCGCACACCTCACTCTCTCAAAAGGTTTCCTCGCCCGCATTTATGCGAAGTATACAGTTCAGTAATCGTCATTCAATAGGCCAACAGAAATGAAACTAATTTTCGAGAAGCTATTTTTTGTTCAGTTAAATAATAATAACGAACGAAGGAGAAATGATGCAATTTGTGATCTGTTTGTGTGCTGTTGATCGACACCAGCTGAGAACTGCATCCGACCCATGTTCTGATTTGACTAAACTGATTTGGCCGATGGTTGTTCCCGATAAACTTGTCAACAATTTTTCTATTTCTTCTTGACATTCTTTAGGGAATGTTTGTACCTCCGAAGTGACTACAATACGTTGATAAACGTAGTTAATTGTAGTCATAGCAACGAGTCACTTTTTCCTGTGTGTGAAAAACGGTCTGTTCATTCACCCAGTGATCACCTGTCCAGCCGGGTTCGATCCCCAATCAGGTTGAAAAAGTTATTCACTACTTTTTAGCTCTTGCAGTTCATCTTTTGTTTGTTGTGTACGAGAAAAAATCCGCTATGTACTTGAAACAATTCGTTCACTACTCTCATGTGATTGCGTAAATTTGTGTGTGTTCATGTCTGTGTGCGCACAACCCAATGTAATCATTAAATTGGTCCCCGACATTTTGTATTTAATCATTCAATCTCTATCCCTCTAACGGTTTCTCATTTTCCCTTCATATTTGTCTTCCCAGACGGTTACGATTTGTGTCGAATAATCAACACACAAGATTTACGTACTGCAGTTCATTATCTACAGCAAAATCCGACCAAGGACGATTGTCTTCCACTGTTTGCCGAGCCTCAAAGAAAACCGGCCACATTGACAAACCAAGTTCCACTGACTCTATTCCCCCCAGCACCGCAGAACAATCTACTATTTTCGAGTCCGTTCCAATCGAATTCAAACACTCCCGAGCAAAACGGGGTGAGAAAGGAGACAAAGCAAAAGCCAGCCACAGCTTTTGGTCCGTTACGCCGGAGTCGGAGGATACGTTTCAAGCATCAGTGATTTCAAGTGTTGTGAGAGCATACATCTGGCTGGATGGTTGTTGTATGGCGATGATCAAAATACATTCCTTGTTAATAAATAAAAGATTATTCAGTCAAACTGGTCAATTATTGTCATGCGTGAGGAATCACGCACATTTGACGAGTGCATGATGAAGTGACCAAAATAATTCACCACGTGTGTTTGATATGCTAAGACAGAACAAAAAAGATAAAATTATTAGCTTTTTATCAGCAATTGAAAGTCAATCGAGATTCAGATATTGTCGATTGGCAAATAATGATGTTCAGTTGCTATGCCGTGATAAACGTCGCGGCAAAAGCAAAGGAAGTGAACCATTCATGCTGATGAACATAAAACCATGGACATCTGTTCGTTCTTTGTTCCGGCTCAACGGTAGTGATTCGAATAGCGTACGATCAGATTGGAAATCGCTACCTGTCACGTGACTAATGGCCGACCTCAGGAGTAGTCTAAGGTTATGCAACTTAAATAAACTTAGACTTGAGTAATGGAAGATTTGATTCAATTTCCAAGAGGAAATTCGTCGCGTAGCAGCTGTACAGTGCTTCCTAGCTTTTCAGTTTACGCTTCATTCACTCCGTACAGGACGAATTCGTTCTAGGGAATTTATGTTTACAATTTCCTCGAAAATCTGAGACAATTAGTCAGCATGTGTTGGGTTTCTTCTTATGCGGCAAACTCCTTCCTTGGCGTCTCATTTGATTCCCACGGTTCTCATGCATTTTAGTTCTCAAAGTAGCTTTCAAGTTCGGTACCTGGAAAGGATAGAATGGGTACACACCACCACTGAACAGACAGAACATGAAAGAGACAGCCATTCGACACGGACACACAACTTCCATGTGATTTCTAAATTCTATTCGAATTGTGGGAAATCAATCATCTCACAGTAAGGGAGCTTCCGCGATGTACGACAACGAACACTATAGCCCGGATATCTACGAATGCAGATGAAGTTAAGTAACAAGATCTTCAAATTCGCTTACTAAATGAAACTTCTCTAAATGATGGATAAGAACTAGGCATTGAGTCAATCTACAATGGAGTGGTGTTGACAATGAGTTCATCCCGATCATAGCTTTCAGTTATCCAAATCAGAGATCATAACAGAAACTACAGTCAATCAGATCACCTGTCCTTTTGAATGCGGTGCCGCCGGACCAACTAGCACCCAGTCGATCAGTGAAATTTCCACCTGGCAATCAGTACTAATTCACTTGGACCAACGGACCACATTTTATTCTCCCCGCCTAACGAGTAGCGCACGCGCGCACACACATACACACCAATTATCGGAGAGGACACCGCAGATACGAAGATAGGCCAAACAATAATGACGAAACAATAGGCAGATCATCCCCAACTACCCTGCACTGGGTAGTATGATCATCGAATTTAATACAACTTTTATTCAATAAAACCTGATAATCAAGTATTGCTGGGGAATGTAGATGGATTGGTTAGTTTCTTGAGCACAAGAAGAGATCAGTCCCAAACAGAGCAGGAGTGAAAACCTATCGGCTTGAACAGATACAGCGTGCCTCCATAAATTTATATCGACTAAAATGCGGATTCAAGAGAGAAAACCAGGAGGTGAATTTATCCGAGTTTTATCCTATGACCTTTCATATAGGGATCTGCATACGTTTTCTATATTTAGGACGGAATCTAATCGATGCCCCGGACACAATGCATTCCATTTGCTGTCGTTCGATTAGCTTTTTCCATATAGTTGATGGTTTTTTATTCCACACTTTCGTGTGATGAATGGCAGACGGGGTAAACCCCATAGTCACGAAGACTTGCTGTTTATTGAGGGAAACCGGGAACCCAAGGCCTGGGACTTGGAGTGGCAAACCACATAAGGCCCCCTTAGGTTAGGTGTGGTATTGGAACGGATGACAGCAGAGTTGCCTACCACCAAAAGATAACGTTTACCTTATCAGCAGTATTGTCGGGCGCGTGTGAAAAACGGAATGCACTGGGCTAAACATTTACTGTCTGCGTTTCTCTGACCTTCTATGAATCTCTATTATATACGTATTCATCATTGAACCTTTTTTATCTTTTGATTAAAATGACTGTGCCATGAAGTTTTGTGACGGTGACGGGGTTCAAGCCTCGGATCATAGGGTCCAAAACACGCCGGCTAAACCACTGCGCCACCACCACCACCTGCAGTACTGCGTCCGCAAACTAAAAATCAACCCTGATGTCCAAACTGACTGTAGCTTACAACTGAAAGAGATTTGTGAAGAATCAGGTTGGCTTGACAAGCAAATGACTATGGAGAACCAAGGGAAATCAGAGATCTTCTTGGTTTTTCAGCACATTTAGTTTCTATTACAACCCCAATTCATCATCATCATCAACAACAACAACAAGAGACCTGGTGCTTGTCCAGCTAACCCGAGCGAGAAACCATACCTTGTTTACAGCCGTAAGTCTCAGGCAGGCTCAGTGAACTTCGACTGTGCAGCAGGAGTGCCATCAGCACACAGATGGACTGGACGTAACAAAAAGAGCATGGCAAAACATACACACCGGTAATCAAACAGTTTCGTGTTAAGGTGAGGCATTTTAAGCGCCGCCGATCGTGGAATATGATCCAATCAGATCACAGAAAGGGTCAGAGGGAATTTACTTGTTCAAGGTTACGGGTGAGATGGACGAGACGATGGTAAACGATGGATCAACCCCACTGCATTTCTTACGGAAACGCATTGATATTCCCATTTTCCCTGTTCTACCGCTACTATCTTGTTTTTTGTTCTTCGGAACTTGCCTCAGCAGTTCCTCTTCCTGCAACTTTTACTCGCCCATCCCGTACACAGGTATCCAGTCATCCTTATCAAGTTTCTGTTCCCAGATGTCTTACCTCTCTGCTTCAATGTTCTTTTTTTCCCCGAACTGCCAAACTGTCGAACAATCTGCCACTTGCAATCTTACACTTTTTAAATGCAGAATTGATAAATGGATCTTGTGTGAGTGTTCCTCTACTCTCCCTTTTACAGTGTGCTGTTTGTCCATGGGGATTCCCCTTTTTTCTGTAATTCACATTGTGTAATAAAAAATATTTACTTATCCCTTATGATAAGCTGAGACAACTCTACTGGGAGAGCGAATAATCGCACGAGTCATCAAACCGAGCTAAGATTTA